GCACTACAGAATTCAAAGCAGGGAGCTTTTCTTACCAATTTCATGGCTCCAGTGCCTACCTATAAAATTGACAAGAACCACACCCAAAAACCAAGGCACAGTCACTGCATCACCCTAATTATACCAACATAAATCCTACGCCTCTCACTGAGGTAGAATGATTATGTCAGCATAGTACAGCACTTACATTGGTGGGAGCAGCACTACAGAATTCAAAGCAGGGAGCTTTTCTTACCAATTTCATGGCTCCAGTGCCTACCTATAAAATTGACAAGAACCACACCCAAAAACCAAGGCACAGTCACTGCATCACCCTAATTATACCAACATAAATCCTACGCCTCTCACTGAGGTAGAATGATTATGTCAGCATAGTACAGCACTTACATTGGTGGGAGCAAATAAGTGCTTTATGCTGAGCTAATTCTACAGTGGACCACAGCCTGACAAAGAAACAGGATAGCCCCAACAAATAGATTCCATGAAACCTTTGTTGGATGGAGCACTGGCTTGGCCAGGATATCTTAACCTTTGTTTCTGTATGGTGCTATTCTAAGAACTTCGCTGTGCTGTGTTTTAGTTAACTAATACATCCTACTCTGTTTTTAAAAGGCTCCCTAGCGGAGGTGCACTGGTCCCAGAAAAGCATAGATGTCATGAGTCTATCACAGTTGGACTCACTGGGCAAAGTTCATAGTGTGAAACAAGTATGCTCAGAACCCAGAGGCACAATGGCGTACCTTTAAGGAAGGCTGGGACTCCTTGGGGGTCTGGTACACTGAAGGGTGTTCCTCCAAGGGACTATTTAAAAATTGGGGTGCAGCACAGATCCTGAATGTATGACACTCCTCTTATCCCTTACTGCCTTATGAATCTATGAAATACATTGAGACAAGGAATTCTGTGGCACCTTAGGAGACTAGCAGATTTATTAGGGCATAAGCCATAAAACTGAAGTGGGTTTTACCCACAAAAGCTTAAGTCCTAATAAATCTGTTAGTCTCTAAAGTTCCACAGGACTCGTTGTTTTTGCAGATACGGACTAATACAGCTACCCCTCTGAGACTTTCATCATAGCTTGAGATATAAAGGGATGAAATACTAAAGAAGATTAATAGGTACCGAGTCATGATCTGGATCATCCACCCAGTGGCACTTTCTCAGGCTCTCCTGATGGCATTCATGCCCGTCATTTCAAACTGATCTGTCTTGCTTCCTGTAACATGACAGCAGGATTTTTTTTAACTTTTTTTTTTTTGCCACATGCACCTTGCCTGGATGAAGTCCCCGAGAGCAGCCCTAGGCATTCAGACAAACCAGGCGGATAGGTTCAGGGACCACAGACAGTAACACAAGCTGCAATCCAAGCAGATCAGGGTAGAAATGCAGAGGGGTCAGCATGGAGCCTTGGGATCAAGCAGAACAAAGGGTGTGTGTGGGGGCGGCGGGGGGGAGGAGGCATCT